TGCCCTTGCCAAGCCTTTGGACAATTCTTCCATTGCCAGTGCATGCAATCGATACTTCCAATCATCCCAGGAAAACCACGATCATGGCCAACTTGGAGCAACCTCTGCAAGTCATCCAAATTTGGTCGTCTTAAGTATTCATCTCCAAAACAGGCTATTACCCCTTCACAAAACTTGCGAGTACACTCAATTGCAGTGGATTCCCCTATCTTCACGTACTCATCACAAGCATCCGCTGCCACTCCATATGCAAGCATGCGTATGGAAGCCGTACACTTTTGGATCGGCGTTAAACCAAGCTTTCCCGCATTATTGCGTCTTTGAATGAAGTAGTTGTCATAATTTGATATAGAGTCCACAATCCGCAAAAAAAGTGGCCTCTTCATTCGATACCTCCGTCGGAATTGTTCGTCAGTGTAGGTGCATGACTCGACAAAGTAGTCGGCCATGAGCCTCTCATGAGCAGCATGGTGATCTCTATATATTGATTTTCTCTTATGGGGTTGTTCGCTTCTCCTTTGCAATTCTTCAAGAAGTTCTTGCTGCCTATCAAGTATTTTTCCTTCTAGCTCCCATTGTCGTTGGAACTCTTCGAGATCAAAGCCATTTGGGGGTAGATCCATTGGGTTGTTTGAAGAAGAAGGTTTGAATTGCTAAGTGTTGATAGTGAGTGGTTTTCATATGATGTGTGATACATTATTTATAATGAATGACCTACGGATTCCAATAAGTTGAATGAAAGGATTAGGTATGGTTCAATTTCAGAAGCTAGTTGGTAGATATGTCCAGATTCATTTTTGTAGTATAGTAGCTAGTCTTGTCACTTTCAAATTCAGAAGCTAGTTGGTAGATATGGCCAGATTCATTTTTGTAGTATAGTGGCTAGACTAGACTTGTCACTTTTAATTTCAGAAGCTAGTTGGTAGACATGGCCAGATTCATTTTTGTAGTATAGTGGATAGACTTGTCACTTTCAATATCAGAAGCAAGTGGGTAGACAAGTCATTTTCAATTTTCAGAAGCAAGTGGGAAGACATGGTCAGATTAATTTTTGTAGTATAGTGCATAGACTTGTCACTTTCAATATCAGAAGCACGTTGGTAGACATGTCACTTTCAATTTGAAACAGTAAAACACACAATATGGAACTTAAAGATCAAACAGATCCTTCTTCAACGTGTTATAAACATACTCATCTTCTTCATCACGATCTTCTTTGTTCTTCAAGATCATCCACACCTCCAACTTCTTAGCATAAGCAGCTTGTTTCTGACCTGCGGCGTACTCCAACATCGCTGAATTTTTTCCCACTATTGGAGTTCTCATTCACGTAGTCTTTAATTTTACCCCAAAAGGTGTCACCTTTTTGATTGTTACCCAATTCACTATCATTGCTAACGTGAAAATAACCAGTTAGCAAAAGGATGTTGTCTTCGGTGCTCCAAGTATCGTAAGTAGTTTTCTTGACTGATTGTTGGGTTGGAGGTAGAAAACTATGGGGAGTATCCCCACCAACATTTCCCAAAGATACCTGGGTGGAAAAATCTGGGATGTCTGTCGATCCACTACTGAAACGAGGAGTCGTTGGCTGGCTCGACTCTGGATTTGGAACGTTCATATGGGAAGGAACATAGCTGTTTCCAGGAGATGGTTGATACCCATAAGGAAGATAAGGGTATTGCATGCCAAAATTTGGTTGCATCATATAGGGCATTTGAAAATTGGGTTGCATCCCGGTATTTTGATTATTTTCTAGGCGTTGCATATTTGGATGTTGAGGTTGATTAGGAATGTTGTAATTGAAGGGGAAATTAGGAAAGTTTTGTGATGGATCCATGAAGAAGATTGAAGAAAATAGTTTCAGAAAAAAAAAGGAAGGAAAATAGGGTGTTGAAAACTCAATTTTTTTTTGGTGTCCAAATAATACAAAGTTAGGCTCTATTTATAGAGCTCGAAAAATTATGAATTATGGTGCAAAAATAAAAAATTAATTCTGAGTAAATTATTGTCAAAATATCAATTAATAATTGAGGATGTCAGCAGCAGTGCACGCGGACACGTGTTGCTCAACCATTGGGCCACATAATTTTTCCTTTCTTTTTTAATGCCAGCTGCTTTGTGGAGGGGCCCGCTTGAGTCAAATTTGTGCAGAGAAAACGAACGTGAAAATTTTCCCCTCTGCGGCTTCGTTTTTCATTTCCCTATCCGAAAAACCTCCGGCTGTACCAAAAAACACTCGCGAAAACCACCTGCTGCGGGTGGTCTAAATGTTAGAAGATCCTCCCCTAACATTTGATAATTTTTAGATAACCTCCTGTAACTTTCAAAATATCAGAAGCCTCTTTTAAATATGAGGATTATTAAAAAAAACTCCCCTTTAACTTTATCATTTTATCAGGAAACCATCTTTTAACTTTGAGAATTTTACCAGAAAATCCCTCTAAAACCATTCTCTTAGAGTGTTTTCCTGATAAAATCTCAAAGCTAAAGGGGTTTTCGATAACCCCAAACTTCAGAAGAGTTTCTGCTATTTAGCCTACAAAATATACATTAAAAAAAGGTTTTCTTAATCACTATCAGCCTGAACATCTTATTTATTTTAAAATAAATTTCCCAAAACACGTTGAGTTGAAAAAAAAATCCCAACGATACTTTAAGTTACATTAATGAGGTATCCTAGACGGAAAATTCCGTCTAGGATACTCATCATTTCGTCTAGGATGAGTATTCTAGACGGAATTCCGTCTAGGATATGCGTCTAAGAAGTTTCCGTCTAGGATGTAGTATTCTAGACGGAATTTCCGTCTAGAATACATCCTAGACGGAATATTCTAGACGGAATTCAAAACCGTCTAGAATACATCCTAGACGGATTATTCTAGACAGAAATTCCGTCTAGAATACTGCATCTTAGACGGAAAAAAATTCCGTCTAGAATGAGTATCCTAGACGGAAATTTCCGTCTAGGATACTCATCCTAGACGGAAATTGATGGTTTTGAATCATCCTAGACGGAATTTCCGTCTAGGATGCTATGCTACAGTAGTTTTTTTTTTTTTTTTTTTGCAGAATCTGCTTTTGGGGCATGTACACAATATTAAAGAACAACTAAATTATTATCATATAAATTAATTATATATATTATTAAAACAAACAATTACAACATTAAAGTTCCAATACTAATTCAATATACATATAAATTATTCTAGACGAAATAGACGGAATATTCTAGACGGAAAATTTCCGTCTAGTTTAATACATTCTAGACGGAAAAAATTCCGTCTAGCCCGTCTAGAATACGTGATTTTCTACTAGTGATTAAAGAGCTAATAATTGGTAAATTTTTATTAAAATCTAATTTGACAAGAGATGACCGGCAGCTGGAGGGCGTGGCGCTAAACATGATGATCGGAGGTCACCGAGGATCGTTAGGGGGCGGTGGCAATTGTTTGAGGTGGGTTTGATTCTAATAGGAGACTTTTATTTTGGTTTTAGATGTAAATACGTAAGAAAGATAAAAAATCCGAAGGCTCAGCTGGCAACTCCCCGTCTAGCTGGATTAAGACTTAACTAAGTTGGAGTTGGTTAATCCTAACTTCATTAAGGGGGTGTTTGTTTGCATGCAAGTGAAAGATGAAAGTGAGAAAGTTACTTTCATTTAACAATTAAGGTGTTTGTTTTCATGTAAGTGGTTATGAAAGTGAGATGTAAGAAAGTTGCCACATAAGATTTAATGCAACTTTGACTTACCCTAAAAAAGTGGTGAAGTCACATGAAAGTGACAAAAAGGTAAGTAATTTAATTAAATGATTTTAATTATATTTTCTAATTAATCTTATTTTGCCACGTCATCTTCACATTGCACTTTCGATAATAATTTAATTTTTCAAACAAACACTGTATTTCACTTGCGTGCTGACATGGATGTAAAAGTCATTTGTAAAAAAAAGTAACTTGCATATTTTAAATTCACTTTCAGATTGCCAAACACCCCCTAAATGTGTCGTGCGCCAACTCAAACTTTAAGTTGAATCCGGAGTTGAAGGCTAATCACAATCATAATAGTTTTTATAGAGGCCAAGTTAACATTTTTCTTAGAAGCCAAGTTGACTTAGGGCATCTCCAACAGCTTTTCTAAAATTTTCTCCAAAATAGGGAAACAAAAGTCATATTCTTCAAATTATTTTTACACCAACTCCAACAACTTCCCCATTTTGAAGAATCCATTTTTTCCTCCAAAAATTTGGAGAATGCTGCAGATTTGGGAAAGCTTCCCCGTTTTTTCTCCTCCATCCCTATTTTGGGGAATGAGATGAAGAATCTGTTAGACCAAAAGCCTAACTATATTCTCCAAAAGTGGAAAATGGGGAAGCTGACATCTTATTTTAGGGCCTTTTTAATAGAGAGGTGCAATATTCTTATACACAGAGTTTAACAAAAGGTATAACTAAAATCAAAGGTATTGTGAAAAAGGGTGTTTGAGAGTCTTTGTCTGTGCAAAAATAATTATAATTTAGATGTGATAGCGGATTATTTTCGATCCCGCGGTGTTTTCCTATCGAGAGTGTCGATGCCCCGGGACTCAGCGATGAGATTAGAGGATAATCTCCAATTAGTGACGGTATGGGATCAATCAATGGAGAGAAGTGAGGAGACGATATGGGATGAATCAGCGCCATGTGACGAGGCATACCCTTCGATTAGTAGGAAGTCAAGGGCTTCACACGGAAGTCTCCAAGCATTGAATTTATTAGCTGAACTCATGGGGATAATGGC